GAGTATTGGATGATTTAAAGATTTATTACTCCTCTTTGTTAGGTGTAATAATAATATTGTGATCTTTTTTAAACAAAGTTCTTTTAGGAATGCATACTAAATAAAATATTTATGGTTGACCTAATATAATGTTGGGAATTTGCCTAAATAGTCTAGAGTGAAGAGAGTAAATGGGATTATAGACAGGACAAGACTGGCCGAGACTTGGTAGCTGTTAGTTGTTGAATTGGTTGATATGTACATGGGAGTTCGTTAAACTGCTATCTGTACTTTTGTACATGTTTAAAGATTTACCTAATAGAATATATTTTTAAGTCCATGAAACAAAGACCCATTGCTATTACTCATGAAAGTAAAATGGTCTAATAACGTGACATATTTTAGTAACAAAATATTCACTATCTATATAAATGATGAATTCTGTGCATATGGGATTATTAAGAGTTTTAAAGGGTTACATAAGTTTTGTGGTCATGCGGGGCATTATTTTGTGGGGGCAACATGAGGAGACTGCAAGGATATGATACCCTCAGGATGAGGATAGCTTATTGAGTTCATTGCCCATCATCATCCACCCATGTCATTTTTAGCATATCTCTGATACTGGAGAGAATGGGAGTGAATGATTGTGTTCACATTAGATGCTTGTTTTAGTGTAACTTGGTTTTTCTTGTTAAAGAGAGATGCACTACTTACCACTGTGGCCAAATGAGAGATAGTTTAACCAAATGCAGAGGAGGAAGTGGTCCATCATAAACTAGATTTCTGTGAATGTAGTCTTAAGTACTCATACTCTTGGTATGTTTATCAAGATCTTTTCTGTCCTTTTTACTAGTATTATTATTACTATACAATAATATAGTAACATATTAGTAATATAGTGAAGAGTGGTACAGCCTTCCATGTGTGCTGTCTTATTAGGCCATAAGAAAGGCCAGCACTTTGGCATAGTCACAATTCTGGTGTATGGCTGAGCCCAGACTAAACTATGGTGTCCATAACTGTCCAATATTGTACATATGTTACAGCACAGACATATTCTAATCCCAAAAGGGGTCGCGTAATGTAGCCCTTCCTTTTAACAGATTAAAAAACTGAGGCTGAAGTGATTACAAATGAAGTTAAAACTACCCACACTTTATTTTCCCCCCTGCTTTTGTCTGAGTACACTGAATGGCTAGGGTCTTCCCTCAGAGAGTTAAATTTGGGGTTCATGTGAGGATGTAGGAAATCAGGAAGGGAAACAGTGCATTGTAGAGGAAGAACTAGGCTGAAGGCCTATAGTACTTACAGTACTTCTCAGTTAAACAGGAGAAGCTTTATTCTGAGATTTGCCCAAAAGCAAGTTGATTTGTCATAATAAGTTAAGCGTTAGGCTTGCCTCCCCAACTACCAATTTTTAAAAATTTGTTATAAAATACATTTGCATATCACAAAATTTTTTTTTTTAAAAAAACAATCTTTGAATTACATGTTTTCTTGGAGCCTTCAAAGCATTCAGTTCATGGTTTGAAGATCATTTAAGTTGAATTATGGATTTAGAGACCTAAATGGGGCTACCCTTTTATACTAAATTGTAGAATTTTAATTCCTGATTTCTCAAAGGATTATAGACTACCTGGTTGACCACAGAAAACAGAAGGAAGATGCTGGGCCCCCTAGCCGGATACCTTTGCTGTTGGTTGCCCATTTAGAGGGGTGTCTAGTGTGCCACTGTTAACCCAGGCACATGAAAAGTTTTATTGAGATTTGACTTACATACCATATAATTTACCCATTGAAAGTATACAATTCGGCTGGTCACGGTGGCTCACACCTGTAATCCCAGCACATTGGGAGGCCAAGGTGGGCAGGTCACTTGAGCTCAGGAGTTTGAGACCAGCCTGGGCAACATGATGAAACCCTGTCTCTACTAAAAATACAAAAATTAGCTGGGCGTGGTGGTGGGTACCTGTAGTCCCAGCTACTCGGGAGGCTGAGCTGGGAGGATCACTTGAGCCCAGGAGCTGGAGGTTGCAGTGAGCCGAGATTGCACTATAGCACTCCAACCTGGGCGACAATGAGATCCTGTCTCAAAAAAAAAAAAAAAAAAAAAAAAAAGGATGCAATTCAGTGGGTTTTAGTATGTTCAGAGTTGTACAGCTGTCATCACAATCAATCAATCAATCTTAGAACATTTTTATCATCCCCAAAGACACCCCATACCCATTAGCAGGCATTCCCCATTTCTCCCTTTTCCTAAACCCTCTAGTCTTAGATATTACCTTTTGCTGTTGTTCTTGGTACTTCCAAACCTCATTGGCTGGGGAGGGGGAAGTAGCACTGACCATACATGTCAGGGCTGGACACACATGCACTCAGAACCTCAGTACTCCCAACTAAGGCAGTGGCTGAGTGAGCATCCTTTCAGTATTTCACTTTCTTGAGCTCAAAAGATAGATTAAGTCTATCCAAGGGGTTATAGGCATAGCCCAGAGGTTGGGAGCAACAGATAATTAACTAGTATTGCTCTAAGGCAAAGAATCTGAGAAGCAGAATGAGATAATCCAATAATAAGCCAAAGATACTTAATTCAGCAGAGTCAAGGGAAGGAAGCCTCATGTCTGTGCACTTGCCTGTTAAAAAGGGGTCAAAGCATGAGTTGGATGTTACCTTTACATGCAGCTTAGGAAGTTAGCTACTGTGAAGCTCTCAATTTTTATTCATAAACTTGACTGTTAATGTGAATTCAATAAGAGGTTTTGTGGTATTCTTTATTTTATCAAGGGGCAAGAACATATTTCCTGCATCTCACAAATGGCCCTTTTAAGTTTTCTTTATGATGAATACAGACCATACTTAGACAGCTACAACATAAAGCTTTAAAAGACTGTTTAACATTTTGTATATATTTAGTGTAAATCCCTCATTTTGTCTCTGGCGTACAAAATCTCACTTCTATTTTTAAGTATAATATTTTAGCTGTGAGAAAAACACAGTAATCTTTGCAGAGTACCATAATAGGAATATAGAAGTCCATGGAACCAAAGTTCATTTTCTTCGGGTTGTCCAATGGATCAGTGTATTTCAATGTTGTAAATAATTAATAACCAAGGAAATTGTAAGCTCATTCAGGATTTTCCAAGGTCACTGTTAGAACTTCTTAAACAGAAGAAAGCTATGTTACTTGGAGGAAAACCTGAAGCATCCTTGCTCACAAAATTTGCTTAATGGTTATTTTTGGCTTTAGAAGTGATAATACATTACAGAGGCCATGGCAATGTAGTTTAAAAGAAATCCTGATTTACCTGCAGTCTGATAATTTTAGGGGTACAATTTACCCAACTTGCTTGTCTCGTTTATCTCCATTAGGTCCATAATACATATTGCTGAAGAAATGGCATATGTTGTACTTTGTTGGTATTTTATATCTGTGCTGTAAATTTCTGTTTTAGATGGGCCATGTAGTGTAGTGACTGAGGCCATAGGCTTTGAAAGCAATCTTCTGAGCTTGCATCCAGGCTTCACACTTGCTTGGTGTGCGGCCTTGGGCTAGTTAATTTCACTACTCTGTCTTGGTTTCTCATCCATAAGACGGGCATCATAGCAATACCTACCTTGCAAAGTTTGTGTAATCATGAAATGACCTAATTCAGGTAAGGTACTTGGAAAGTAACTGATTAATGCATAGTAAGTGCTATTATGTAAGATATACTTTGTTCTGAGTAGAAAAAACTGGTTGAGTTTGTTTAATCCATATGTATATTCTAAAATGTGTAAGTCTATCAAAATGATATACAGTCAGCTCTCCATATCTGTAGTTTCCACATCCATGAGTTCAACTAACCACGTATAGGAAATATTTGAGGGATAAAATGGATGGTTACATCTAAACATGTGCAGGTTTTTTTTCTTGTCATTATTCCCTAAACAATATAGTATAACAACGATTTGTGTAGCATTTACGTTGTATTAGGAATTACAAGGAATCCAGAGATGATTTAAAATATATAAGAGGATGTACATAAGGCGTATGCAAATACTATGTCATTTTGTATCAGGGACTTGAGCATCTGTGGATTTTGGTATCCAGGTGGAGGGTGTCCTGGAACCAATCCTCTACAGATACCAAGGGACAACTTTATGTTTAAGTGTTACTTTTAGTATTTTATTGGAGGTAGCCAACAGTATATTAGTGTATATTTTTCTTATTTGTGATATACCTGTCTATGTAAATGATCTTTAGAATCTTGCTCGGTCACCCAGGCTGGAGTGCAATGGTGCGATCTCGGCTCAATGCAGCCTGCACCTCCTGGGTTTAAGCAGTTCTTGTGCCTCAGTCTCCTGAGTAGCTGGAACCACAGGTGTGCGTCACCACACTCAGCTAATTTTGGTATTTTTAGTAGAGACTGGGTTGGTCAGGCTGATCTCAAACTCCTGGCCTCAAGTTATCCACTCACCTATGCCTCCCAAAGTGCTGGGATTACAGGCATGAGCCATGACAGCTTGCGTATATTTGTTTTAGATGTATCTTTGTTCCTGAAAACACACATTTTTTGTTCTTGGCTTTTTTTTTTTTTGAGACAGATTCTTGCCCTGTCACCCAGGCTGGAGTGCAGTGGCATGATACTGGCTCACTGCAACCTCCGCCTCCAGAGTTCAAGGGATTCTCCTGCCTCAGCCTCCCTAGTTGCTGGGATTACAGGCACCTGCCATCACGCCCGGCTAATTTTTGTATTTTTGTAGAGATAGGGTTTCACCATGTGGCAGGAATGGTCTTGAACTCCCGACCTCAGGCGATTTGCCCGCCTCAGTTTCCCAAAGTGCTGAGATTACAGGCGTGAGCCACCACACCCAGTCGAAAACACTTTTTAAAAACATTTCTTAAAGTTAGCTTTTCTGAAAATAAACATTCTAAAAATCTATTTTTAGCTTTATCACATCCTATAATGTGAACTCAGACAGCTACATGGTTAATAGTTTTAATTGCATTCATTAAAAGGAGTTTAGTATTCAAAGATATGCCAACATTTTCTTGCGTCTACCAAAGTCTTAATTCAAATATCACAGAAATGAGTATAAGTTATGTCAAATAGCATCCTTAACAAACATGGCTCTGGAAATTAATGCAGACCTTTTTGTTTATATTTCTATAGCTACAATCAACCTAAATTCAGCCAATGATAGCTGGTTCGGCAGCTTAAAGGACACTATTCAGCATCAGCAAGGAGAAGCGGTTTGGGTCTCTGAAGGAAAGGTATGTGGCATGGATATGCTGCTATGAGGTGAGAGTCCCTGTTCTGAAACTTTCCTGAAGAGGGCAGTGAATGTAGTCAAGCCACGCCCATTTGAAGTGATGCTCACATGTGTGCTAATCAAGTTTGAAATTTCATAAATTCTCTGATCAACTAATAAAAATGAAGGGACTTTTAAAAGAAGAGCAGAATGTGACGTGTGCAGCCCTACATTCACTTCCCTTTTACTTTTAACGTAGTAACTAGTGTTATATTCCAAGTACACTAATCAGAGCTTACAAGATCTCATGCTGAGCTCCACAGCTTACTAAGGACGTGGGAAACTTAGAGTGCAGATGAGAGGTGAGGTCAAGCAACTTGGAGAATACGGCTAAACATTAATAAAAAGAAGAAAAGCTAATGGAGTCGGAATTACTTAGACAAAAAGGTTGGTTGAGAATGTGCCATCGTTCTGAGAGTTTGAATGGGTGATATGAGAGTGTTAGGGAATTTGTCTAGGCCTCCAGAATTGGATCGCTTCTCCCTGGTGGAGATAGCTCACACACGGCTGCGCTTCAGGGAGGAAAGAGGGAGATTCTGTGGCCCCTTTTATTCTAGAAGCTTTTGGTGCTAGTATCCTGTACACCAGCTGAACTGAGTAGTTTTGTGAGACTTTACAGTGACTGATTTTGTTGCAGAATTGACTAAGTCTTGCTCTTTGAGAACTAGATGTTTAGTCAAAGTATCTGGCATCTATGGCGTGCTTCCAGCTTGGAAGGCTCTATGCAAGCTTCCCTGGGGAGGACAAGTTGAACAGGACATACCTTCTGCCTTTGAGGGTCTGAGAATCTTGTAGAGGCATGGATGTGAGTGTAGCACAAGGCAGTGTGCATGTGTTGATATTACTAGGAGAATGGTACCAGGAGAACAGGCTGTGGAGGAGCTGGATTCAGAAGAAAAGCAAGACAGTCTGAGGCAGTGTGGCTTAGCTGCGGTATGTAGGATGGATGGTAGCACAGATAGGCTGTAGGGCCCCTAATTTGAGTTCCTGCACAAAAATGTCCATAATATCAACATTGTACCAAAGCCAAGTGATTTCAGGGAGAAAAATAAAAGATGCCTTCCCTGGCGAGCACATCAAGGTTTCAGTCGCTTGGCTGTGTCCTTGGGAATTTTCTTGAGTCCCTACTCCCAGGAGCCACGTCAGACCCCACTGACCCTCCGACACAAATTCCTCTAGATGGAAGGGATGGATGATGACCCTGAAGACCGCATGTCCTACTTAACCGCCATGGGCGCGGACTATCTGAGTTGCGACAGCCGCCTCATCAGTGACTTTGAAGACACGGACGGCGAAGGAGGCGCCTACACTGACAATGAGCTGGATGAGCCAGCCGAGGAGCCGCTGGTGTCGTCCATCACCCGCTCCTCGGAGCCGGTGCAGCACGAGGAGGTGAGGCGAGGCAGGCCACGGGCAGGAGCAGGAGAGCCTGGTGTTTTCCTTGCACTCTCGTGGACAGCTGTGTGTTCAGGGTGCTGTGGAAGGCATTCCTAGGGGTTGGAGCAGATGACTTCCAGGGAGTCTCTCGCTCTGAGTCCACGCTGGCATGGTTGAGTCTGTGGGAAAGTGGGACAGGCAGGTGGACTTCAGAAGAGCTTGAGGGGCCAGCACTCCTCATACCCATGCCCTCAGGTGCGACGGATAAACAGAATGGCTTTATGTGCCGGCTGTCCAAATTACTAGCGGAACATTCCTTCCCATGCAGTATTGTTGTATGTACTTGTAACCTTTGATTAGGTTTCTCTCTGTACTCTTAGATGTCCTTGCTTTTCTTCCCCATCCTGCTTTTAACCTTTCTAATCTTGCCAAAGCTCTTGAGTGTTTCCCCATCAGTTTCCTTCTCTCTTGTATTTCAGTTTTTTATTTGAGTTCATGATCAAACCTTCATCTGATCACATGTACTGGGCATCCACTGTGATTAGATAGCTTATGGGATCCTTGAAATCACATTGACAGACACTGTAAAGTCACAGCCAAGTTAGCAATTATTAGTTGCACCTCAGAGAATGCTGGAATAATGATCTTTGTAGATGGGATTGTTCATATATTTGGATAATTATTGCTGTGGATTTCTCTCTAGCATCTTAGCTCATTCCAGTAAATGATTTTTTTTCTTTATGAAATAGAACTACCCTAAAAAAACCACAAAAAACCCAAAACAACAAACTGAAGGGGGAGAAAAATACACCATTACCACAGCAACAAATTAGTTTATGCTAGACAAGTTGTAAAGAATAAATTAACTCCCAAATGCCTATAGACATAGATATTAGTGACACAAGAGATTTTAGACTTTTGGAGAGTTCTTAAAAAACTGTGCTTTAACGGAAGAGACTCTACATTGGATGCAGCCAGTTTTTAAAAATGTGTCTGAAGCATTTGGTGATGGTGTCTGCCTGTCCAGTAAAGAAGCACCGGCTCGGGACCTCAACTTCTGAACTTACTCAAGTTTGCAGAACTCCTCCAAAGCAGTCGAGTGCTCTATTCTCTCTGCTTGGATATTCTTGTTGTGAATGAACCTTTATGTCTTGTAGAGCATAAGGAAACCCAGCCCAGAGCCACGAGCTCAGATGAGGAGGGCTGCTAGCAGCGATCAACTTAGGGACAATAGCCCGCCCCCAGCATTCAAGCCAGAGCCGCCCAAGGTACGTGGCTGGGAAGCCCAGAATGGGAAGGAAGAGGAAGCAGATGCCTCTGGAACCTCCTGGACAGCCAGGGAGGAGCATGCAGACTGAGATGGTGTTTAATTACGGTTCTGACTCACTGTGTTCTCTATTAGAGCCTGTCTTTTGGCCTGTTGGGTGAATCCCCCACATTAGGGAAGGGCAAAAAGGAAGGAAAGGCAATATTAGGAGAACATATAATTTTAGGGCTGTTAGTGTTATTTTTTTTGTTGTTAAAAGATTGTAAAGAAAAAATACTGCATACCTAGAATCACCAATCGCAGAATCTGTTTTTCTTTTGCTGTCCAGCTAAAGTTTTTTGTCCACAGTCTGATTTAGATGCTCCAGATAATTCTTTTTTTTTTTTTTTTTCTTGAGACGGAGTCTCGCTTTGTTGCCCAGGCTGGAGTGCAGTGGCCCGATCTCGGCTCACTGCAAACTCCGCCTCCCAGGTTCATGCCATTCTTCTACCTTAGCCTCCTGAGTAGTTGGGACTACAGGCACCCGTTATACACATCTAGATGTGTATAAGAGACAGGTTTCACCGTGTTAGCCAGGATGGTCTCTATCTCCTGACCTCGTGATCCGCCCACCTCGGCCTCCCAAAGTGCTGGAATTACAGGCGTGAGCCACCGCTCCCGGCCTAGATGCACCAGATAATTCTTACTGGTGATTTGCTAAAGAGAATAATCATTACCACTGCTTACAATGCCTCTCTTTAAGAGAGCTGCTTATTTGTTTAATAATCATTATCCAGAACAGAAAGACACAAGAGCTTATATCAAAATATTATTTACCTCCAGTCAGAATCAGAGCTATGACTCTATGTTTTTCCTTATACCCAAATAAAATCTATTTAACTCAATAATTTATTATTTATTGTTACTATTTTTTGAGATGGAGTCTCGCTCTGTTGCCCAGGCTGGAGTGTAGTGGTGCAGTCTTGGCTCACTGCAACCTCTACCTCCTGGGCTCAAGTGATTCTCTTGCCTCAGCCTTCCGAGTAGCTAGGACTTAGATGCGTGCACCCCTACATTCAGCTAATTTTTGTATTTTTAGTAGAGACGCGGTTTCAACATGTTGGCCAGGCTCGTCTTGAACTCCTGGCCTCAGGTAATCCACCCACTTTGGCTTCCCACAGTGCTGGGATTACAGGTGTGAGCCACTGCGCCTGTCCTAACTCAATAATTTAGATGAGAAGAAAGCCATAATTGATTGTGTGAGCCATCAGAAGTAGTAAATGTGATGTGGTACTAAGTAATAATAATAAGTGACCTCATAAAATACATCAGCGAAAATTTGCAAGCTGGGCAAGACGAAGTGTGAAGGAGAAGTGGCTGCTAGCGTGAAGCAGTGCTCCCCTCGCTCCCCACCCCAGTCTCATTCCTCAGCTGGACATGGGTCTCACCTGGGCCGGCTCATGTACCCTCGGTGCAGCAGTGACCTCAGAAGCCTACTCTTGCAGTCCCAAAGCCTGAATTGTTCTGAGATCTTCTCCAAGATGCTAACCTCTTCTAGAACAAAATTATTCCAGGTCTGATCTTACCTCCGGCAATCACAGCCCTCCCAGCACTTTCCCTGCGCCTTTTTGGCTTCCTGGCATTCCTAATAATCTAATGTAGGAAGGGAGGTAGGGCTCAGGAAGCCTGGCCAGTGGCCGTTTACCCTGCTGTATTACATTCCTTGTCAGAATGGCATTTGTGGACCACCTTTGGAAACTGATCAGGAAATGGAGTGCATTAAATCACTAATACAGATTTGAAAATAAAGTTAAAAGCCCAAGGTAAAAACGTGTCATTGCTCTCTGCAGGCCAAAACCCAGAACAAAGAAGAATCCTATGACTTCTCCAAATCCTATGAATATAAGTCAAACCCCTCTGCCGTTGCCGGTAATGAAACTCCTGCGGCATCTACCAAAGGTTATCCTCCTCCTGTTGCAGCAAAACCTGCCTTTGGGCGGCCTATACTGAAGCCCTCCACTCCCGTCCCTCCTCAAGAGGGTGAGGAGGTGGGAGGGAGCAGTGAGGAGCAAGATAATGCTCCCAAATCAGTCCTGGGCAAAGTCAAAATATTTGAGAAGATGGATCACAAGGCCAGATTACAGAGAATGCAGGAACTCCAAGAAGCACAGAATGCAAGGGTAATTGTTTTTAAACTACGCATCCTCAATAAGAGTTTTAAATAAGTCTGATTTCAGTATAACAGCGGACAGCCCCTTTTCCACTGCTGCAGATGTGACAGGGTTGTTCACACACACGGCACCCAAGGCAGGGGCTGTGTGTGTCACTTCAGATTGCCAGCTCCCAGCACGTCCCTTGTTCTTCCAATGAAGAAAACTTGACAATATAGGGGAAGAAGATTCTGCTCTTTATGCACAGGACTTTGTATAGGGTTCTGGAATGAGGAAGTGTGAGGAGAGAATCGGTGCCTCTCAGAAGTCGTTTTAATTAGAATGTGATTTTTTTTTCTTTTCTTTTAAACATGTCTTCATTAGCTCCCAGATGTGCCATGGAAACCAAGCAAACTTTGGGTGCTAAAACAGAAAGGCCCATAGGTTGTACTTTCTGAGCTGTTTGAATTGGTTTACCATGTGCACATAGAACTTTTCAGACATCAAAGAAGAATTTAACTAAAGGTCTGTGGAGTATATTTGCCCAGTAGATGTGGGAGTTTTCTTTCAGGTCTAGCACAACAACAGCAGTACATCTGAGCATTTTTCTTTCCTTGTGGTAAAATATACATAACATAAAATTTACCATTTCAACCACTTTTTTCTTTTATTTGTTTTGTTTTTGTTTTTGTTTTTGTTTTTGTTTTGTTTTGTTTGAGACAGGGTCTCCCTCTGTCACCCAGGCTGGAGTGTAGCAGTGCGATCACAGTTCACGGCAGCCTCAACCTCTTAGGCTCAGGAGATACTCCCTCCTCAGCCTCCTGAATAGCCGTGACCACAGGCACATGCCACTGCACCCCGCTAATTTTTCATATTTTTTGAAAAGACAAGGTTTTGTCATGTTGCTAGGCTGGTCTCTAACTCCTGGGCTCAAGCAATCCACCCTCCTCAGCCTCCCAAAGTGCTGGGATTACAGGCATGAGTCACTGCACCCAGCCTCAACCATTTTAAAATGTTCAGTTCAGCAGCATTAAGTACCTTCACATCGCTGTTAGCCATCACCACCATCCATCCCCAAAACTTTTTTATCCTCCCCACGTGAAACTCCATACCCATTAAATACTAACTCACCATTCTCCTCTCCCCACAGTCCCTGGCACCCACCCCTCTACTTTCTGGTTTCTGTGACTTGGACAGTGTAGAAACCTCCTATAAGTAGAATCATACACTATTTGTCTTTTTGTGATTGGCTTATTTCCCTTAGCATGATGTCCTCAAGGTTCATCCAGGTTGTAGCATGTGTCAAAGTTCCATTCCTTTTAAACAGTTTTCCTGTCTGATGTGCACTGCACATAACCGTGGAAATGAGGAAGCCGCCTCTGTGTTTCCTCTTCTTGAAATGGGATGGGAAAATAAGTAGGATATGGGGAAAGGGTGGGACCAGCAGGAAACCAGCATGCAGAGTGCCCAGTGGTTCATTCTTTTGCTCTTGTTCTTTTCTTTTTTAATTACCACAGATCGAAATTGCCCAGAAGCATCCTGATATCTACGCAGTTCCAATCAAATCACACAAGCCAGACCCCAGCCTGCCCCAACACACGAGGTAAGGGCTGCCCAGCAGGCGCAAGTCTAAGGCGGGGACTTCTCAAGGACTGGGACTCGAAGAAAGAATTTCCTTTACCCAAATTTCAGGGTAACAGGAGGATTTTTTTCCCACAGGATGACTGTTTGTCTTACTCATTCCATCAAATTTAATTGTAAAGATTACAGAGTCAAAACTTCTGCATAGTTTGCTTGTGTGCTAAAACTCTGACAAAGTGTAATCATCGATGTTTCAAGCCAGTACTTTTGACACATTGGAGTCTGGTTATGTTACATTGCCCATGGTTAGCACATGAGCAGAATTCCTGGGGCTTAGACCTGTTTTGTCGCTGTTTGTTGCCTCTCAGCCAAGCTTCTTAATTCCTTTGCATCATCCAGCAAAGTCAGACCACTTGTGCTGCCCTGAGGTCTGAAGGGACCGTGACAAGCAAATGAGCAGTCTCGGTAAATGTCACACAAACGGAAGGAATGTTCACAGTGTCTTCCTGCTGAAGTTTTATACTGGATTGCTTCCTGCTTCCGAGAATAGAAAAAAAGTCACATTTTCTTGTGGCCATTCTTTTTTTTTGGAGACAGAGTGACTGTCGCCCAGGCTGAAGTGCACTGGTGCAATCTCAGCTCACTGCAACCTCCGTCTCCCAGGTTCAAGCAATGCTTGTGCCTCGGCCTCCAAGGTAGCTGAGATTACAGGTGTGTGCCACCACACCCAGCTAATTTTGGTATTTTTAATAGAGACGGGGTTTCACCATGTTGGCCGGGCTGGTCTCGAACTCCTGACCTCCGTCCGCCTCGGCTTCCCAAGATGCTGGGATTACAGGTGTGAGCCACTGTACCTGGCCTCTTGTGGCCATTCTATCTGGAAGCTGAAGTCTAGTTTTCCAGCAATAGGAAACTGGAAGCAAATTTCTTCTTTACCAGTTGAATGGTAACACAGTCAACCAGGTTGCCTCTGACAACAAAGAGTTCTTGGGTATGACAGACTGAAACTGACAGAGAACTCTCGCTGCTGGGTGAGACTAGCCAGGGAGCTTAGGGGTGAGGAGGGCTCCCCCTGTCCAACAGGGAGATTCTTAGGTCAGGGGCACCTGGCTGGCTTCCTCACTCACCGCCCAAGTGGGCATTGGATTTGACTTATTACGAACCTGGAGCAGGACCCGGGATGCCTCTGGTTGCTCTGTAGAATGTGGCTCAGAGGTAAGTGATCTGCTCAGTATGCTCAGCCGCTGTGCTCCGAGCCATGCCTCCCTGGGCAGCCGGAGGAATGGATGTGCTCGAAATGTCTTTAACACCCTTTCTTTGTTAGTTCCAGACCCCCTGAGCCACAGAAAGCTCCTTCCAGACTTTATCAGGATACCAGAGGAAGTTATGGCAGTGACGCCGAGGAAGAGGAGTACCGCCAGCAGCTGTCAGAACACTCCAAGCGCGGTTACTATGGCCAGTCCGCCCGATACCGGGACACAGAATTATAGGTGTCTGAGCGTGGATTCTCCCGGGCCCGCCTGCCACGGCATCGGACTAGCCGGTCCTGCCAGGCCGCCGGGATGGTTCTTCTCCAGATAGAATGCACCATGGAGACGTGGTGGTACTCTAGCTTGTGTGTCCTCGTAGAGAACCCAGGGGACAGCCGGTGCAAATTCAGAACTGAAGGCTCTGTTTGTGGGACTGGGTTAGAGGAGTCTGTGGTTTTTTGCTCAGAATTAAGCAGAACACCATAGTCAGATCCTGTTACTTGCTTTCAGTGGACCAAAATCTGCATTCTGTTTGCATACTTTTAATATGTATATTAAGAAGCAATAACTATTTTTCCTCATTAATAGCTGCCTTCAAGGACTGTTTCAGTGTGAGTCAGAATGTGAAAAAGGAATAAAAAATACTGTTGGACTCAAATTAAATTCAAAGAAGTACTTTATTACAACTCTCTAAAGTGCCTTGGATGAGAAGTGTCTTAAATTTTCTTCCTTTGAAGCTTTAGGCAGAGCCATAATGGACTAAAACATTTTGACTAAGTTTTTATACCATCTTAATAGCTGTAGCTTTCCCTGCACTGTGTCATCTTTTCAAGGCATTTGTCTTTGTAATATTTTCCCTAAATTCAGACTGTATATATCATAGCTATACTTGATAGTTTGGCTATAAGTGCTCAATAGCTTGGAGACCAAGAAGTTGGTGTTGAAATTTTTTGTTTGTTTAAAACCAAGTGCTGCACAAAAGCAGATACTTGAGGAAAACACTATTTCCAAAAGCACGTGTATTGACAACAGTTTTATAATTTAATAAAAAGGAATACATTGCAATCCATAATTTTCTTTGTGGTGGATTTGTATGCTACTTTCTATTTTAAATACAACTTTTATTTCAGTTCCCAATCATAGAAGTGAGTACTTACTCCTTGTCGAACATTGGAAAATGGAAACGTGAAAAAGAAAATTATACCCATAATCCCATCCCTCAGATAATTTTGGTGTATTTTCTCCAATTACGTATTTGTGGATGTCTGTGTGTATGATGCTTGAGGGTGTACTGTGTTTGTAGTTCTATTTCGTATTTTTTCTGTTTATCTTTCTATCACTAACGGTTCTCAGGTGGTTACGACTGTGCAACAAGGTAGTTAAAGCGTGGTGCACACATCGTCATTAACAACCACAGAGCAATGTATCCCATGACTGCTTCATAAGTGAACAATTCTCCTATTGTTAGCTGTTGGGATTATTTCCAGTTTTTTGCCCTTTTTTTTTAATACATGAAATGCACCTCTTTGTATGTAATCCAGTTTTGTATATCATTGATCAACATTTCAGTATTTTTCTGCAGGCAAGTTCTCAGAAGTAGAATTACCGAGTAAAAGTATAGGAACATTTTTAAGGCCCTTGATGTTTACTGCCAAATGGCTTCCTAGGAAAGTTGCATCAATTTACACCCCCACATCCACTCTTCCTCTTCTTCTTTTCTTTTCCTTTCTTTTCTCCTCCCTCCCTCCCTCCTCTCTCTCTCCTTTTCTTTCTTTCCCTTTTTTTTTTTTTTGACAGGTTCTTGCTTTGCTGACCCCAGGCTGGTCCTGGTCTTGAACTCCTTTAGCGATCCTCCCACCTCTGCCTCCCAAAGTGCCGGGATTACAGGCGTGAGCCACCATGCCCAAACACCACTTAAATTCTTGAAGTACTGAAATAAATTTAGAACTTAAGCAAGACAGGTTAGGAATTTAGGCTTGTATTAATAAAAAGAACAATGAATTTGGAAAAGGAGAAAAAGAGTCTTGGTTCCATTAAGGATCTTTTATGATATGAATTGACACAAAGGAGTTAGGCTTGTGTTTTAGTGGAGTTAGAAATTTGGCTTACTGGTAACTGAGTTACACTATAAAGGTGTCCTTGTTTATGTCTCTTCCAGTATGGGTGCTGTCACTTATAAATCATTTAATGTATCTTGAATTTCTGAACACTCCTCGGGGCACTGACTAACATTTGCACATTCCATAAATAAAAGCTACCTTTTGTGAATAGGAGAAAAATGTACTAGTTAACTATACGATAATACTGTTGGCTTGTGTTCTTTAAATCCGGGAATGAGCGCTTTGCAAACGTAGGTGGGGAGGGGAGGAGGCTTTTGGCAGGAGCTAGGTTGTCATCTGGTTCCAGCAATTTTGTGAGGCAGGCAGTGCCTCTGTTCCTGAGGATGTCCAGCAGCATGCCTGATGGACCCCCGGCACCTTCGCCACCCCTTTTTATTCATACCCTCCTTGGTTCTGGAAAGATGTAAAGCTGCCTACAGTATACATGGAGCATAATGAAAAAAAATGATGGTAAGCAAATGAAGAAACAGGGAGAAGAGTAGCAGTAGAGGGAAGATGGGGCCATGAGTGAGAGCTGTGTTCAGTTTCTGCACTGTCAGGATTCTGCAGCTCTCCAGAAGCCAGTGTGGCCCCGGCGGCACCTGCATCTGTGATAGAATTATGCCTATGCTTCTAGCCCAGTGAGATAGATGAGCGATGGGTCTTCCAGAATGACATCAGGTGCTACTGATGTCACTAACATCAGTAGTAATTTGACACTAACAAATTCTTCATAGGAAGAAAAGTTGGTTAGGAACGGTCCATTTAAGCAATTACAGTTGTCTTTTGAGAGGTTCCCAGTCAATCCTCCCTGTCCCCTTCGAACCTCTTTTCAGTTGGGGTCATTTTGCCAGTTCTAGCTTTCATATACATATAAAGAGAGATTTATTTTAATGAATTGTCATACAGGATTGTAGGGGATTGGTAAGTCTAAAATCTGAAGGGTAGACCAGCAGGCTGGAGAACCAGGGGAGAGAGACAGTCCAATCCTCCTAGCTAGTGTGAGGTCCGTCTTTGTTCTGTTAAGGCCTTCAACTGATTGGATGAGGCCTACTTACATTTCAGAGGACAATCTGGTTTACTCAAAGTCCACCAATTTAAGTGTTAATCTCCTAAAATAACAACGACAGCAACAAAACTTTTACTGAAACAACCAGAATAATGTTTGACCAAATATTTGGGCACCATGGCCCAGCCAAGCTGATGCATAAAAATTAACCATCACAATCCCTCATCCCGTTTACCATGTAGGCCACCCTGCAGCCATCCTTTTTGTTTAGTGTTAAAGCATAAGTGAATGAATCAACCAGAAAAAGGAAGAATTAATTACATATATTTACACATACGTATAGGTTTTATACAATATATATACTCTGGATATACATATATTATAAATTTTTTATTTTATTATATTTTGAGACACAGTCTCACCCAGGCTTAAGTGCAGTGGTGCAGTCACAGCTCACTGCAGCCTCGATCTCCTGGATTCAAGCAATCCTCTCACCTCAGCCTCCCAAGTAGCTGGGACTACAGGTTTGTGCCAGCATGTCTGACTAGTTTTTGTATTTTTTGTAGAGAAGAGGTTTCACCATGTTGCCCAGACTGGTCTTGAACTCCTGGGCTCAAGCGATCCATACACTTCGGCCTCCCAAAGTGCTAGAACTACAGACTACAGAACTACAGAGCCACCGCGCCCAGCCTATATTTTGTTTTAAATAAAGATGAGCAAATTTAATTTTAATGAATAGAAAAGCATTAAAAATGGGCTGGGTGTGGTGGCTTACGCCTGTAATCCCAGCATTCTGGGATGCTGAGGCAGGTGGATCATCTGAAGTTAGGAGTTCAAGACCAGCCTGGCCAACATGGTGAACCACCGTCTCTACTAAAAATACAAAAAAATAGCTGGGCGGGCTAGCGGGTGCCTGTAATCCAAGAGGCTGAGGCAGGAGAATCGCTTGAACTCGAGGGGCAGAGGTTGCGGTGAGCCGAGATCTCACTATTGTACTCCAGCCTGGGCAACAAGAGCAAAACTCTGTCTCAAAAAAAAAAAGAAAGAAAAGCCTTAAAAATGAAGAAACAAAAACGAATGAAATTTGAATAATAGAATTGAAACCCCAATAAAAATAAAATACTTCACATTTAAAAATAATATTCAGTGAAATAAATGAGACAAAAGGCTGAATGGCAAAAATATGCATATATGTTTGTGTATATATACAGAGACAGATAAAACGTCTTATTTCCATCCTGCCTTTTATTTTAAATCTCATTTATACATACATAGATATAAAATTGGTACATTTTATATTCCCCACACTAGTGACTGCAAAGGCAGTTATAGCACTTTGGCATTTATTTTGTGCAATAAGAAGTGAAATGTGGTTTGATTGCTTCTGCACTGTCCTCGGATGCCATTCCGCCTTCTAGAGTCCAGGTTGCTCTGTCCTAAGTTTGAGTCTCTCTAAGAAGGATAACTGGGGAAGAAGGTCGTGACTGAAAGAAAGTATCATGGGGCCGGGTGCAGTGGCTCATGCCTGTAATACCACCACTTTGAGAGGCCGAGGCAGGTGGATCACTTGAGGTCAAGAGTTCGAGACCAACCTGGCCAACAAGGTCAAACCCTGTCTCTACTAAGTAAAATACAAAAATTAGCTGGGCATGGTGGCAAGCACCTGTAAGCCCAGCTGCTCAGGAGGCTGAGGCAGGAGAATCACTTGAATCCAGGAGGCAGAGGCTGCAGTGAGCTGAGATCACACCACTGCACTCCACCCTGGGCAGCAGAGCGAGACTGCATCTCAAAAAAAAAAAAAAAGACCGGGTGTGGTGACTCACGCCTGTAGTTCCAGCACTTTGGGAGGCCAAAGGGTGGGGGGGGGGGGTGTTGAATCACCTGAGGTCAGGAGTTCAAGACCAGCCTGGCCAACGTGGCGAAACCCCATCTCTACTAAAAATACAAAAATTAGGCATGATGGTGCTTGCCTGTAATCCCAGCTACTCAGGAGGCTGAGGCTGGAGAATCGCTTGAACCTGGGAGGTGGAAGTTGCAGTAAGCCAAGATTGCACCATTGCACTCCAGTCTGGGCGAG